CCATTCAAAAGTTCAGAAATCATTCTAATATGCTGATTTAGTGCACAATAAATATTTCTTATTATTAACAATGTTGCAAACAGCTGCTTAATATTTCTGTGGAAACATTTTTCAGGATTGTTTGATTGTTTAAAAGAACAGAATTTATCAGCATTATAAATCCTTTGTAAGTCTTCCACCTTTTATCATTTGAATGCATCCTGCTGAATTAAAGTATATTAAAAATACAGACTTTTAAATGGTAGTGTATGTATTTATAAAATATTTATAATTTTTTATAAACATACATACAGTTTGTTGAAACTTGCCATATATCATCTGTGTGTACTGGTTTATTTCTTTATGTTCTCATGTTTTCATGTTTTTTTTTTCCACATTATTTTTTTTATGTTTATCTTACATTTACAGTAATCATGTTATATTTTTGAATATTTTAAACATATTCATGATTTTTGAGATACATTTGTCAAGCAAATACTTTTAATTCACAGTGTGTTGCCCAACTCAAAACAGCTCTTAAAATCATATCAGGATTAACTATTCTCCGCCAGATTAAGTTACAGTATGCACCCGATTCAATGTAAACATGGTTTACGAGACTAACAGTCTTTGTCTAGGAACAAAAGAGAATATCTGCAGTTTATGAGAGCTGCTGGTACGCAAGAATAATACAAATCCTGTGAACACAAGAGAGTAACAACTCACTTCAAGCACTGGAGTGTCCAATTTGCTCATTATACACATTATATATATATTATAATAATATCACATTTTACATTATTACATTTTCAAAAGCTATCCAGCTTGGGATGTCCTCATGCTGAAGTTATAAAAGCTCTGAAGTGCAAGTCGTTTGAAGCCACAAAAACCGAACCTTGAACCGAAAAGAGTATATGCAAGCAAAAAGGGAAAGTGACAGTACCAGTAATAAAACACGTATAAACATAGTTTACATTGTATCACAATTGCTGTACATTGACTAGGTCCACAAAACAATGTTTATGTTGCTAGCAATGCCTAAACCAGTTCCATCTTTGTTGTATTTGCCTATAAATAGTCTTACCAAGTTCTAGTTTCCACCGTTATCTGATATGAATATCAATTGATATGCCTAATGTCAGTGTTGCCAAACTTTTTCAACGTTATTTAAAACAATTGATTTTACAATTGAAGTCAATACAACAATGACATATAAGCTACTTACCTACTCATAAGCAGTGGTGGACGAAGTACACATACCATGTACTTGAGTAAAAGTAAAGATACTCAAGGTAAAATATTACTCAAGTAAAAGTAGAAGTGCTGCCTTTAAACATTCACTTGAGTAAAAGTACAAAAGTATTTGCCTTCAAATGTACTTAAGTATCCAAGTACTTTTATTGTTTATGGCTATAATGTCCTATTATAATTTGTCACAAGACTCTTGCTTAACTCAGTCTAAGTGAAGACTAATGTCACTCTTGGCACACCAATCTATTAATGAAATGACATTAATTAGTCTGATATATATATATACTGTATATATATATATATATATATATATATATATATAGATATATATATATATTTAAATTTAATTAATTTTGTGTGTGTTTAATTTTGGAGGGAAGGGGACTGTTCCCATAAGGTATAAAACATTTACAGTATTTACTGTATATATTTTTCTCCAGCGCCTATGATCATAATTATTAACATCTTAATGTTATGATACATTCACATAAACCTGCACAACCCTATTAAATATATACACACATATATATATATATATATATATATATATATATATACCTACACACATAGCCTACACACACACGTCACACACACACACGCACACACATTATATATATATTCTATATTCTATGTTATGGGAGCAGCCAATTTCCCTCCAAAATTAAACACAAAAACGTATTAATGTGTTTCTGCTAGGCTACTCCCCAGAAAAAAAATCTATTATATGCAATTCATTTTAGTGGCAACGTAAGCAATGTACATTATGCGTTAATACTTACCGATAATTGCTGCAATAATAGCTGCTGCTCTCTGTCCTGCATAAAATCATAGTCAACGCGATTTGTTTGGAACTATTGAGAGCTACACGAATAACGTAACGGTGAGATCAGTGTCACAACCATCTATGTTCGCAACTCTCATATTTAACGACTCTGGTTCGCGCTTAGTAGATATCGCCAAGGCAAGTTCAAAACAAAGCGCGCGCGCGCTGTACTGTGATTGGTGGCTCGTTTGGCCAGTTACGTTTTTATCCACTCATAAATAAAAAGGAACGACTGATTTTGAAAATGTAGTAGAGTAAAAAGTAAGATATTTGACTTTGAAATGTAGTGGAGTTAAAGTAAAAGTCTCCCAAAATTTAAATACTTGAGTAAAGTACAGATACGCAAAAAAGCTACTTAAGTACAGTAACGAATTACATTTACTTCGTTACTGTCCACCACTGCTCATAAGACATATTTTTCAGATTGCCATCTTACGTTATTAAGATGTAAATGACATTCTCACTCTGAAAAAAGTGATAAGTTGACACCTGTTGCCTTAAAATTATAAAATAAAATAAAAATTTCATGAGTAATTGAAAAAAAATAAGTTATGTGTAAAAATAAGTTCACGTAGTGTAACAGTGCAGCGCTTCTGGGTTGTACGTCAGAACGTAGGCTCACTATTGGCCGACGCTGCTCATGTGTGTGAAGCGTGTGATGCTGGCCAATAGTGAGCCTACGTTCTGACGTACAACCCAGAAGCGTTGTGCCCACACAGAAGAAAATGAATAGTTAAATAAAGTAATTATTTTTGTTTGTTTTTGCGCACAAAAAGTATTCTCGTCGCTTGATAAACTTAAGGTTGAGCCACTGTAGTCACTTGGACTATTTTAAAAATTGTCTTTACTAACTTTCTGGGCCTGCAAGTTTCAATTACATAGAAGCCTATGGAGGAGTGAGACCGCTCTCAGATTTAATCAAACAAATCTTAATTTGTGTTCCGAAGATGAACGAAAGAATAGGGGGTTGGAACAACATGAGGGTGAGTAACTACTGACAAAATTTTCATTTTTAGGTGAACTAACCCTTTAATTTTAAGGCAACAGATTTCCTCACCTTTTTTAAGTTAAGTCAACTTATCACTTTTTATACAATTATCATCTGTATCCATGGGTGCACCCCAAGCTATCAGATTCATCCTTGCATAATAGCTGAGCCAAAGCACAACTCATGTAATTACCGAAACAATGTTCCTCTATAAGTAACTTGTAGTTTTAACCCTCTGGTGCTCTTTGCATGGCGGTCAAAAATGACAAGAGAATTTTTGATTTATTTTTTTCAATGAAAGAAATGTACTATATTTTAGTTTGATAATGTTTTTTATTTAATATTTTGTATTTTAGGGGATTTTATGGTACTAAATTATATTAACGCTGTATTTATAATCCATTTATTCACGTTTTGAGCATACAGACCTGACTTAAGGTCTATTAATTAAACTGTCGTAAATCTTGAATACTTTAAAGCACAGACTTAAGTTTGATCTCTTTTTAAAGTCGACATGTGGCAAATTATTGCTGAAGTGGAAAAAGTTTTAAAAAGTGAACTTAAAAAAAGTTACAGAATTGTTACGTCACTTTTTAGTATGAAAAATGCTATTTTAAATTTTTATATGAAATCTATATTTTCAAAAACACGTTTTACTCTAAAACGGCAAGAAAATCAAAGCCATGAATCTAAACAAGTTGTGTTCCAAATTTGAGCTTAATATCTCAAAAAATTAGCTTTCAGTAAGATTTTGTTTGGCCGTAGTACCAAAAGATTTCACTAGATGAAATTCATCTCCCATTAATTTCCAATGCGGTCATTTTTGACTGCGAGGAGCACAAGTGTGACTATTTTTTTCAGGACCATTTAACCTTTTCGAATCATCTCCATTATTTTTTTATGTGTTTAAGTGCCAAAACTTTTACCAAGTTTCATACCATTCCGATTAAGTAAACAAAACAAAAAATTAATGAACGAAGAGCACCATGACACACCAAGCTGACCACCGACCAACGTCGGGCCGTCGGTAAGACAGATCACTCTCATTGGCTGTTAAGCTTAGCAATGTCCAACTGCTGAGCCGCAGCGCCATATGTGACAGGACTTTCAGGACAGCGGTGCCAGCAGTGCCAGGCCAGCAGTCTCAGACCGGAAGCAAATGCCTAATCCCACCACTTACCCTAACCTTAATGAGGCTATAACCTCAACCATAACTTCCAGGTTGGGACCGCTGGCCTGACGTTGCTGTCCTGAAACGGCTGTGAGGTATAGCGCAACGGCTCTGCAATAGGATACTGTTGTAGCAAACCAGTACACAGTTGACTGCTGGCTGGAGTCTTTGTAGTGTGTTTAAAGAGATAGTTCACCCAAAAATGAAAATCAGCCCATGATTTACTCACCCTTAAGTCACCCTATGACAATCTTCTTTCAGACGAATAGAATCAGAGTTATATTAAAAAATGTCCTGTCTCTTCCAAGCTTTATAATGGCATTGAATTGCTGTTTCTGTTTTGAAGTCCATAAAAGTGCATCTATATGGATATTTGTCTTACACAAACTCATCGCTTCGCTTCAGAAGGTCTTTATTAAGTGTGGGGCTCTTTAATGATGGATAGATGCACTTTGATGGACTTCAAAACAGAAATGGCCATTCACTGCCATTATAAAGCTTGGAAGAGCCAGGACATTTTTTAATATAACTCTCTGAAAGAAGAATGTCATATACACCTAGGATGACATGAGGGTGAGTAAATCATGAGCTAATTTTCATTTTTGGACGAACTATCCCTTAAGTACAACTTTTTGGCCACAGTCAGCTTTTGTTGGCGCCAGTTATTTTATGTCTGTTGATGTCACGGCCTCTATCATTCAAAAGTTATAGTAGCTTTAAAATGGTTAATAAATTAAACATCTACCACCCCCTCAACCCTAACGTATAGTTCATCTGTTCTTTTATAGCGGTAGTGACATATACACCTGGCTACAAGAAGACTCCTCCACCTGTTCCTCCTCGTTCCACCACTAAGCCGGTGATTTCCGTAACAGCCCAAAGCAGCACAGAGTCGACGCAGGACGCGTACCACGAGGGTCGGCTGCCACGCGTCGGACGGGTTATCTACAACTCCACCGACAGTCTGGACAGCGCTAAAGCGGTGACCCTAGCAATGGAGACGGCTTCCAAGCGCCTCACGTCTGCAGGGAGCTACAGCTCCGTTCAAACCTGCGATAAGGCCATCCTGGTGTCCAAAGCAGAGGAATACCTCAAGACTCCACGCTCTTCCATCGGGATTCAGGTAAGCCTCCCTCAAGGTTTTAGGTTATTGTCATTAAAATCCACTCTTTGTAAAAAGAGTCAAAATCTGCCTCTTTGTAAATCCAATGGCTTTTTGTCTCGCCCCCAATCCAAAAATAGCCGACAGCATTCAGACTGTGACTCACCCACCCAGAAAGTGCACACAAAGTCTCCTCATATCGCCAGATTCTGTGGCAGAGAATACGAGACTGCAGATTGACCCTGAACAACACAGATTAATGATGATGCTTCTCTCTGTGGGCTTATTCCTACACATGACCAACAGCCAAACGCAGAACGCAGCTGTGGAGATGAAGAAAATATTACACCTATAAAGCTATGCATCACTAACAACCAAATCCACGAAGGCTGGAATGACTTATTTAGCTAAATCCAGAACTCAAACCACCCATCCGTCAAGACTTCCACTGCTCACTTAACTAATACAAACAAGGCTCTAAATTCACCCTCATGTCACTCAATGATTTTGTTCGTATTCAGAACAATCGAAGAGATTTCTGTCCCTCCATTGGGAATCCATTCCACTAAAACTGACACTTAAAGAGATCATAAAAGCAATTCATATAAATCAAGCGGTTTATTTGATGTCTTCTGAAGAGACACAATCGCTTTATGAACAGATTTAATTTAGGCTTTTATTCACATATTAACATTGATCACTGCACATACATAGAACACGTCAAGCGAGAACCAATGAGGTTTGTTCTCATGCATCAAGTAAGTGCAAGTAAAAGCTTTCATTAACCATATTTGATGTGCTCTATGTATGTTTATATGTAAATAAAAGTCTAAATTAAATCATCAGAAGATTTGGGTTAAACCGCTCTATTCATATGGACTTGGTTGCATTCAATCGAGGGACAGAAATATCTCAGGTTTCGTTAAAAAAATCTCAATTTGTGTTTTGAAGATGAACAAAAGTCATATGGGTTTTGAACAACATGAGAGGGAGTAATTTTGGGGTGAACTATCCCTTTTTATATAAACATTTTTGAGTGTCTAACACAACTCCCTTTTCCTAAACCTAACCATTTCTCAACAAAACATTTGACAGGAAGATAAAAGTATTAAACAATCACATTCCAAACAGTTGCAGTAATAGACGCCTTGGGATGAGAACTAATTTGAAATTTATAGATGCATTTTAGTGACTTTAGATGATTTTAATCATGAGACTAGAGAAGACTTCTATGTTTACACCACTAGCTGAAGCACAAGGCAGTCATAAACCTCCAGAAGACTTTGAACTCGTTTAAAATACATCTCTGTATGTTCATAGTGCAATTTGCAGGAATTCATTACTCTGGATGCTGAGGAAACTAGCTGTCACCCCCAGAACTAATAACCAGCAAAAGGGATATATACAATCAGAGGAAGGTGATAGAGTATATGAAAGACTTTTACTAAACAATAAACCATGTCTCCAATGATCGGTTGCAGTCTAGGATTGTACTGTGAACAGTAATGAACCGTGACTGGTTACTTGAATCCCCGTTTCTATTGGGCTCTTGATCAGGCTGCTTTAGGGGCTGTCCTTACAGTAAATGTGCTATAAATTGCTTGTGATAACAAATTGTTTGTGAAATGTCAGCTGGGAAGTCTCATATGTGTGTCTCTAAGCTGTTATTTTCTCATCTGGGTCTGTGATAATGTGTTCATGCCACCCACAGGATATTGTATATATCAGTATTGTATTATGTTGTAAGTATTGCCTTGACACTTTCATTATTACTCACTGAAGGTGTGAAACTATTATCTGTTAGTTTTGTACTTAGCGTTCTGACTGACTGAGAATCTATGGCAGTTCCTAGAACCATATTGTTCAACACTTAAGAGGAACATCTCAAATTAGGCCAATATGACAGCAAGTTTGGTACAGCAGATTGATCTTGAAATCATTAGGCATATATATATATATATATATTTTTTTTTTTCTGTGAATCCTTGGTTCATGCCATCAGTCATACTAGTGGTTTCAATTTCCACCCAAATCGATTTTCCGCCAAAATGATTTTTAAAACTTCTCCTATAGCCTTCATTTGATCTTTTTCCAAATGTGTTACAAATAATCTTGATTTCCATTACACGAGAGTAGATGTTAATACTTCATGCTGATTTGTACTCGGCTTTCGCCAAGATAAGCAACACTAAGACGTAGCTTTACAGTAAACTATGATTCTCCATCCATTTACACTTCTTTCCATACGGTGGTGTGACTCCCCTTCTGTCCGGCGTTAACGACTGCAGTGTACTTGGCGCGTCAGCACACATGACGGCTGCAACAACAGTGTGGTCTCCCTAGTGGACCAGCACGACAACCGTCTGGATTGAGCCGAGTAGGGGACATCTCTAGGGTCTTCAAGTGGGCACCTTCCATCCTCAGTGTTTCGTCGACTAGCCCATGACACCTCAAGAGGGCTCGACAGTGACTCTGGCGTCCCAGAGTCACCCCCCTCCGTCCCCCACTCAACTCAGCCCAGCTTACTGACCTCTACATCCCTCCTGCTGCTGAGACCTAACCACAATCTCACAATCTCTCCGCAACCCAACCATACGCGCCACCCCGTTTGACTAAGGCTGTCAAGCCCCACTGGTGCGTTAATGCAGTTTCAGTGGCAACGGTTCCGTATGGCATACCACCTACCGCAAAACACAATATCTGCCCAACCACCCGTCATTCACGCAATATACACAGGAACGTAATGACTGTAAATACTATACAACCTATACAAATAAACCAACAGACTCTTCAAGTTTTCAAGAATTCTACGAAACCGTAGCGTGGCGGCCTGTACACAGCCAGCCAGAATCTTTCCGTCTCAACCACAGCCAGTTGCTGCTCCTCTCTGCTGCTTCAGATAAGTTCTTTACTGTGCGACGCAACTCTTGGCCACTGAATCCGACGTCTCTGAGGAACCGGGTTGTAGAGTGTGCCACAAAACCTCGACAACCCACTTCCACTGGATAAACCTGGACTCTCCATCCTCGCTGTTCTGCTTCAGTGGCCAGATGAGCATACCGCAGTTTCTTCCTCTCATATGCCTCATCTACCGCATCCTCCCATGGCACTGTCAACTCTATCAGTTGAACAATGCGTGCTGATCCAGACCACAAAACAATATCTGATCGTAGGTTAGTGGTGGCAATCTCAGGTGGAAAAATAAGCCGTTGATCAAGATCAGCCAGCATCTTCCAGTCCCTAGCAGCTTCCAGTTGTCCTCGGCGAGAATTGGTGTTAACACCTTTTCTTGGTGGTTGCTCGCCTGGGCGGAGGAATATTGTCTTCTGTGTGTAATGTTTTGCTAGAACAGGCGGCAACTTATTGGTCATGTTACGCTTGCCTTCCAATTATAAAGCCAAACATCGCAGTACTTGGTCATGGCGCCAAGTAAACTGACCTTGGCTAAGAGCCACCTTACATCCTGTCAAAATGTGCCTTAATGTGGCAGGTGATGAACACAAAGGACAAGAGGGATCCTCTCCTACCCAGAGGTTTAGGTTCTGTGGTGATGGGAGAACATCATATGTTGACCTAATAAGGAAACTGATCCTACTCTCTTCCGTTGACCAAAGGTCTTGCCAGCCCATCTTGCGTTGTCCCACACTCTCCCATCTCATCCACTCTCCCTGCTTGGCCTGGGAAATGGCCTTTATGAGACCATATTGATCCAAAGTTTTTTAAGATTTTTGATTTAACAAAACATTTGGTGAGAGACTCATTTGTTATTTGGAGTAAAGTTCAGAACCTTGTGAATGGTATAGAGAATGATATTCCAAGGCGTTCAAACATTGGCCGTGTTTCTTGTCAGCCATTTTGGATTTTATTGTAAAGCGCTGTATTTTACCAGTGGATTTGGGTATAGAGTGCTGCAGGAATGAGCATAAAACCTGGAAATTAGTTTTGTCCCAAAACCAGTCGGATTTTTTTTGTTTGTTGGTTAAATACGTGAAATAGGTTGATTTTAAAAGCTTTTATGTGTTTTGAAAAGGTTGTTGCTAACAGGGACTACAGAGGTTTCCCTGGGACATTAAACATCATCACAGCAAACAGGGGAAACTCATCTACTCACTAGTCTGCATTTACAGCCTCATTGTGTAAATATATTCAGGGGAAATGTTTTTAAATAAAGACTAAAAGAGTTGTTGGAAGCTCAGTGATGGTGACGTTGAAGTAATGCGACTGTGGTGTGGTCCGTTACCTACGTTTAGCTTTTGACTTCTGGTGGCTGTATTTAGTTTTCAAAATTCATAAAAGCTGTGAACATTATCTTGTTGAAGAAAATGTGTAAGATTCATAAAGTTTGTCACAGAACTTGTTTTCTTCAATAATTCAAAAGCCATTGAAAAAATCCTATATTGTTTTTTTTATTCAAGGGATCCAGGTTAATGCTAACTTCCAGAATGTCCTATAAAAACATATATTTTTTAGCATTCTATTCCACTCTATTGAAACGAAAACTAGTATGTGTAGTTGTAAATCATGCCCTGATGTTACCTGGGAAATCTCCAGCTAATTGTTGGTAAAATAAAATGGATGGTTGATGATGGGGACTTTAAATCCAAAATTGGAAGTGAAACTGTATCTTGACAATGCTTTGACAAATTGAATTAAAACACAACATGAGGACACATGGAGGGGGCGGGAATTACTTGTCATAAATTGTTATTGTTAAATCAATAATTGGCATAAAAAACATGGTGCTTTATTTCAGTGGATCATGCTTAATGCAGTGTACATGATCTTAGTGATGTGATTTGCCCCGTAATTGCAGCTTGCAGCTATATTCTGTTCTTCTCTGGTTCACCTCAGATACTCAGTAGCATTTGTATATATATATATATATATATTCTCATATGTGCTCCTTTTTTATCTTTTCCTTTGCTTATTCATTTTTCAGGTGGAAGCGGCCACAGATTCTGAGACAGATAGTAAAGGTCTCCCGCAGTATCAGTCCGTGGGTATCCAGGTAGAGGATGAGAGGAGGTAAGTCTACTGATCAGTCATAAACAGGACATTTGATCCGCAGAATTAAAGGTTATTCTGAATTAATGATCCCTTTTAGGGACTGAAGCTCAGAAAATAAATAAAGTGAGATAATGAATAGGTAAATAAATATAGATTGCACTTTTCTGGGTGTAAGTAGCCTACACAAACTGCTGTTAATATTGTCATTCTTATGTGCACTTTCAGACTTGGGCGCTTTAAACGGTCCAACAGTGTGACGACGGCAGTTCAGGCTGATTTGGAGCTGGAGGGGTTTCCATCGACCGAAGACAAGAGTCTGCAGTTTGGAGGATTTCAGCGGCATTCTGAACCCAGTACGCCCACACAATACAACGTGGTTCGGACCGTACGCACACAGGGCCTCTTCAGCTACCGTGAGGACTACAGGCCCTCCAGCGGGCCGCCCAGCCCACAGCCCGAACCCTGGCTGGTCGAACCCGCTCATGAAACAGCCGAATCCGGACGCGTGTCGCCGCTCCGCCGCGATGGCAGCTGGTTCATGCAGCTTCTGCACAGCGAGACCAAACGCTTGGAGGGATGGTGCAAAGACATGGAGCGCGAGGCGGAGGAGCACGACTTGTCGGAGGAGAGTGAGTGTGCAGGACATCCAAGAAACAGATAATATAAGTCTAAAACAACACAATCTCATGGCAGTTCATAACTATTTTACGTTTTGGTGAATTGGTGGCTAATTCATATGAGTTCGTACTATCTCATTTGTTCTTTTTAATTAGATCTGCTTAAACCCAAAGATTACCTCCGCCGTCCGTGTTCGACGGAGGTATACACAAATCCGGCGAAACACGGAAGTAAAGCAGCGCCGCCATTACTGCGTGCCTTGCTGCTAAGGAAGTAGCGGAAGTAGCGTTGGTCCCGTAGGCGGCTGTAGCAGATGTTAGCTGTACGAAATGTTATTTCTATGTAGTTTTTTTATTTAGTAGTTATTTTTTAAGTGTCATTGGCTGCTGAAGACTTGGGTCTAACCATTTCTGTGAGCTTAGAGGGGTGTACCGTTCATAGACTAGGCCAGTTTACATGCTATAGATCAGCTTATTCAGCCTATTTATTTAGTCCTTTTTTGTATAACCTATAAAAATAATATATTTAAATTGCAGTTTTATGTAAAACGCATAATAAGCTACAAAGTGCCTAATAATTTTTACAGATAAATTGCTTTAATACCAATTATCAAGGTGGCCTAGGACTTTAGTACAGTAAAATACTTCTGCTGTCAGGAAAGCCAAATCAAGTTCTTATACCTGTCCTGACCTGAGCACAAGCTCTCATTCTAATCCTGAAAGTCTTACATACTTATATAAAGCCTCAAATAGCATGTTTAAATACTTTACGTCATTAAATTCCTTTAAATTGATAATATCACCTGTATACCTAATTACGGTTTGTCTGATGAGTGTCTGATTTCAGCACAAACAGGTTTGAATAAGTGCCACCTGCTTGCGATAGCTGTAAATGTAAGCACAACAAAAGCTCATGTTGTTTTCCAAAGACAGATATTGATTACAATGGTCTGTGTCTTAAACCTGCATCCACTGTAACTGATTTACCCACACAAATGTTAATGCTTTGATGTTAAAGCTAGAATGTCCACTAATGTGTTTATTTACAAAAAGACATGAGTGGAGAAAAACAAGGCAATTTTATTTTTATCAAAATTTTCATAAAACTGCTATTTAAATATATTATTTCTATAGGTTATACAAAAAAAGGACTAAATAAATAGGCTGAATAAGCTGATCTATAGCATGTAAACTGGTGGTAGCCTAGTCTATGAACGGTACACCCCTCTAAGCTCACAGAAATGGTTAGACCCAAGTCTTCAGCAGCCAATGACACTGACCCGTTCAAACTGATTTTTAACACGTATTTCACGTGTATTTTACGTGTATTTCACGCGTGAAATACGTGTTAAAGGTGCTCTAAGCGATGTCACACGTTTTTTAGGCCAAAACATTTTTTTGTCACATACAGCAAACATCTCCTCACTAACCGCTGGCTGCCTGTCCCCTGAACACACTGTAAAGAAACGCGATCTCTGTAGACAGCCCAGGCTCCACAAACAGCAACAAAAACAAACTGGGCTAACCCGCTCCACGAAACATAACAAACTGTTCCAGCCAATGACCGACAAGAAGGACTTGGGGGCGGGGTTTGGGGGGTTAGTGCGCAGATGAGGAGGAGGGAGGGTCTAGCTAGCCTCCGTTTTGTTTGACAATACTTTAAACGTCAACAAGAAGTGACGTCACCCGACATCGCTTAGAGAACCTTTAAAATTCACTGTTTTTGGCCCTCTTGGCCTTCGATATCAGTGCGTGTGTGTGTTAAATGAAACTGCGCGACAACTGCACCATTCATTCACACAGAACACGTAGGATTCGTATTTAAATAGTATTGCGGGGTATAGTATTATTATAAAACAATGGTAGGGGAAACACTGAGTTATTTGCAACTTGTGAAGCTTGTGAACATATTAGCAACACAGCTAGTAATGACAGCATTCGGTTTTATTGTTGTCATCAATTTATACACGTCTTAATTACATTACATTACATTTAACTGGCGCATTTTTACATTAATACATTATATTGTCAATAAATCATCTTTATCAGTAAGTTTTGCCAATACCTGACATCATCTACCCAATGTTCCCTTTCACCAGACATTTTCTTTCATGAGCAGCATCCGCTTTCATTGAAATGTCATTAGAGGGCACCGGCAAGTGTCACACCGTCACCTTTAGCAGGCACGCAGTAATGGCGGCCGGCAGGCAAGATGGCGGCGCCCATAGAGTTTGCGGCGGATTTGTGTATACTGTAGGTGTGTCTGCAAGGTGACCGTCGAGACACAAGAGTCCACTAGGTGGCAATACGCAGAGTTGTGATGAACTGTGCAGTAGTCGAAGAAGAGTGTAGAAAAAGCCGTAACCTGCAACCTTAGTCGAAAAAAGCATAACGCCTGCTAACTCTGCGATACGCAGGGAAGGAGACAAGAGGGCGTTTTTTTTTTTAAGGATGTCAATGGAGGAGAGGCTTCACTAAGCTGCTGAATAAACCGCTTTTGTGAGGAAATAGCTTATAATTTCATGAATAAACAGCCCATCGGCTATCTTCAACATGTTTGCTCTTAAACTTTTGTTTTGGATTGATTTATTTTTAGAGTTTACACCAGAAAAAAAAAATGTTTTATAAAAAAGGTCACAGGCAATTGTACAACAGGTATGATTCAGTTTACGGAACTTCTCATTAATTTCTATTAATTAATTTAATTTCTATGGAATCCGCAAACAGTGATTGACTGTCACACAACCCTGAATGAAATTCAATGACAGCAAGGCTGTAATGTGATTGGTTATCAAGGCACACGTGATCCAATTTAGCCGTTACGTCACTTCCAATGGTAGCGCCACGGACCCTCGTATCTCCCACTAATAAGACCATCTCTGGCGCTTCCTTCTTGTTCTAAACTTTGCATACAATGGCAGATCTTCTACTTTTCTTCCTCTATCCTTCTGAGCAAATGTCCTGTAAATGACACGACTCAGTGCTGCCCTCTGATGTCTGGAGGTAGAGTATAAAAAATGATTGTACTGTGCATGTGTAAAAATCGTCGCAACCATCCGTGCAAACCCTGACTGTGCAATGCGTAAAATGAAGTATGCACAGGCCCCACTAACGTTATTTTTAGGGGTGGAGCTTCATCCTTACTTTTTTCTAAAAATCATACGAAATCACCACCTCGTAACATTTTGGTCTAAACACTTCTTAGATCTAAATGATATATTTATCAAAGACAATTCAGACAAAATGTGTGTATATGTAAATTGTATAACCAATCTTTTTATTTCTCAATTTTTCTCAATATGTCTTGCAGTTCTTGGAAAGATCCGGAGTGCTGTGGGCAGCGCTCACCTCCTCATGTCCCAGAAATTCCAGCAGTTTTACTGGTTGTGTCAGCAAAATCTGGTATGTGGCATTCCTAAGATCCCCATGAGATATACATTAATGCTCCCTTTGCATCATAAAATGCATCAGCCATGCACCAGTTCTGTCATGAAAGATTCAGGATGCCTCTTTGACGGGTAGTTTATCAAAAAGTATTGGTGAGAGTGTTTTGCATTTATTAAATACATCAACAATTTTCCTGCTTTAGCACTTCAAATTAAATAAATATGAATAAACATCCTTAAAAATTTGAGAAGCAAAATTGTGCAAGACAGTATTATGTTAAGTCATTTTCCCTCATGTATTTTTTTTAAGTTAACTGTAAAACTCTCAAACAAAATTAAAAAAAAAATATTTCAGAATTCTGATGTATAAATTTTGTGTATTTTTTTTTTGTTGATTTATTTAGATTTTTTTGTTACTGATAAACAAGACAAAATACTGTTTAAAGTTGTTTTCTAAAATATTTGAGAAGCAAAATAGTGCAAGACCTTATTATTTTAAGTAATTTTCCCTCATGTATTTTTGCCGTTAACTGTACTAAAATTAAATAATAAAAAAATCCCAAATCAAAATATTTTATTTCAGAATTCTGATGTATAATATCTTGTGCATTTTTGCTTATCAAGTAAATGTATTTTTATTGTTAATTTTGTACTGATCAACAATACAAAATACTGTTTAAAATTGTTTTCTAGGATAGTTGACAGAATTACACAATGATTAGTTGCAGTGTCAACTCCACTAAATGTAATTTTAGCCTGAAAGAAGCTTTAACCCTTTTCAAGATGCGTTAGAGTAAAAGATCCTGACGTTAATTGGTAGTTGGTGGGTTGAATGACACTTTAAAGGGTTTGTTTAGTGGTCAGTGATTGTTTTCGTCTCTTGCTTTCTCTCTTTCTCTCTGGAGATTGTGAAATGATGGATGTTGTAATACATTCACATGGACAGGCTGAGACCAGCTTGCCCTCTCTAGTATGAGCGTGCAAGAGACTGAACGGTTTAACTTAGTATTATAAAACAAGAAGAGAAGATGTAGCCAGAATAAATATAGCAAGCACTGTGTTGATAACAGAAATAGTTCAATTGATCATTGATTTTACAGAAAATAATTATATTTACACTGTCAGTTATGCACATCCATCATTCACTTTTTTGTGCTTTTTTTAATGTTAATGTCAAAAGTGTTCCTGACATGGTCAAATATAGAGTTTGGATGAGAGATGCTAGACTACAGTGACCTCTAGTGATTATTCATGGTAATTTATTAATTCATGGCACTTGGTGCAGTGATGCGTAGATAGGGATCAGGATCCTTATTTAGCTTGATTGCTCGAGGGGTCATAAGTTTACACCCCTTTCTCATACGTTTTTACTATTATTATTTTGTAAGACCCGAAGAAGATCCAGAACACCAGCCAAAATAATAACTGAAATTAACCAAATTATGCTGTTCAGAAGTTTACCTTATCAGTACCGCCTCCTGCTCATAGCCTCTTCTGATAATTGATAGTGTATGAGTCCCTCAATTGTCCTGACTGGATCTCGATATCACTGCGCCACTGTGAGGAAGAGCTCGAACGTGTAGAGCATTCTGAGACACAAAAGAACCGACTGTACCCTGAGGATTTTTGTCAAGAACAGCGGGCAGATTCACTGCTCAAAGTACTCAGGACAAACCTAAAAAAGTTCAAATCAATCATTTACTCTCAATGGGCAGCATATGAGATTAAGAACCATACATTAAGAACTTCAAATATTCCGATATGTGCAATATCTCTATCAGGGCAAAGCTAAATAAAAAAACAAAATGCATTGTTATGATCCCTGTTCTTATTTCATTTATTATAAAAAAATAAAAAAAACATAATTGAGATCCTGTATGAGGTTTGAGCTGAGGTGTAACTTATTACTGTTGTTTGTGTTTGTGAGGAGTGTCAGTGTGTGAAATATAATTGGTCTGTTTCTGGTTTTGTGCAGGACCCCAGCGCTATGCCCCGCCCCACGGCTCAGGACCTGGCTGGGTTTTGGGATCTCCTGCAGCTCTCCATCGATGATGTCACTGCCAAGTTTGATGAGCTGCAGCAAATCAAGAGCAACGAGTGGAGGATAGTGGAGAGTCCGGAGAAGAAGGTATTTTTTTTAAGTGCCGTACAAGCCATGATTCATTCTGGCACTCTCACACACTTACATTCTCCTTTCACATACATATATTTCTACTCTCACACGGTTTACATTCTCCTTTCAGATACATATAAATATGAGTACACAAAATGTAGGCTCTGAATGTGTGTTAAAAAAAAGATATGAATATAAGAGTAAAATGTTAGAATGTGTGCGTTAGAAAGTATGGGAACATGAGAGCAAAATGTATGAACGTGTGCATTAAAAAATGTGACTATGAGAGCAAAAATATATGTATGTGAAAGGAGAATGTACAGTAAGTGTGTGAGAGTGCCAGAATGAAGTTTGGCTCTTCATACAAAGATACTGAAATATATATATACTTCTTATAGACAGTAAAGTGGATCAAAAAAGTTCATCAAAGTTGTCCTAGGACAAAAACGGTATTGTTCAAAATTCATGTATAACTTTGATGAAAGGTTTTGATCCACTTCAAATGTTACTACTGTATGTTTATATGTATGTATGCATGTATATATATATATATATATACACATGCATACATAGTTTTTAAAAGAGGTTTCTTATGCTCACCAAGGCTGCATTTATTTGATTAAAAATACAAAAAATACAATGTTTTCTATTTGAATATATTTTAAAATGTAATTTATTCCTGTGATCGAAGCTGAATTTTCAGCATCATTCTGATGTATAATATTTTGTCTTCAGTGTCACATGATCCTTCAGAAAGCATTATAATATGATGATTTGATGCTCACAAAACATTAATTATTATTATCAATATTGAAAACAGTTGTGGACAATTTTTGTTTCCAGGATTATTTGATGAATAGAAAGTTCTATTTCATTTATTTGAAATAGAATCTTTTGTAACATTATAAATGTCTTTACTGTAACCATTGATCAATTTAATGAATTCTTGCTGAATAAAAGTATTGATTTATTTTATTTCTCCCCCTCCCCCAAAAAATGTCTTACTGACCCCAAACTTTTGAACGGTTGTGTATAATGTTACAAAAGCTCTATTTCAGATAAATGCTGTTCTTTTGCACTTACTATTCATCAAATAATCTTGAAAACAAAATGGCACATAACTGTTTTCACCATTGATAATACTAAATGTTTCTTGAGCATCAAATCATCATATTAGAATGATTTCTGAAGGATCATGTGACACTGAAGACTGGAGTAATGATGCTGAAAATTCAGCTTTGATCACAGGAATAAATTACATTTTAAAATATATTCAAATAGAAAACTGTCATAATTGTCATAATATTTAACAATATTACTGTTTCTTTTTGTATTTTTAGTCAAATAAAATGCAGCCTTAGTGAGCATAAGAGACTTCTTTTAAAAAATTTAAAATCTTACTGATGCCAAACTTTTGAACGGCTGTCTGTGTGTGTGTGTGTGTGTGTGTGTGTGTGTGTGTGTGTGTGTGTGTGTGTGTGTGTGTGTGTGTGTGTGTGTGTGTGTGTGTGTGTGTGTGTGTGTGTGTGTGTGTGTGTGTGTGTGTGTGTGTGTGTGTGTGTGTGTGTGTGTGTGTGTGTGTGTGTGTGTGTGTGTGTGTGTGTGTGTGTGTGTGTGTGTGTGTGTGTGTGTGTGTGTGTGTGTGTGTGTGTGTGTGTGTGTGTGTGTGTGTGTGTGTGTGTGTGTGTGTGTGTGTGTGTGTGTGTGTGTGTGTGTGTGTACGTATATATATATATATATATATTAGGGCTGTCAAATGATTAATCCAAAATAAAAGTTTTTTTTACATAATATATGTGGGTGCACTGTGTATAATTATTTTATATATATAAATACACACACATGCTTGTATATATTTAAGAAATATTTTCATATATATATACTGTATATAGATTTATATATCATTTATATTATATATAAATATAAATATTGTATATATAAATTATATATTTTTCTTAAATATACATGCATGTGTGTGTATTTATATATATACAAAATTATACACAGTGCACGCACATATATTATGTAAAAAAAACTTTTATTTTGGATGTGATTAATCGTGATTAATCATTTGACAGCCCTAATATATATATATATATATATATATATACACATACACACACTATATATATATATACACATACATATACATATATATGTACATGTATGCATTGACACTAATTCGAAGAAACCAAGCAAATAGTCAAATAAAATGGTAATGAACCCTACTTCTTTTCCACAGGAAAGAAAATGGCCACCTCCTGTTACAAAGAGGCCTCCTAAAGGTCGCGGAGCTGTTATGCGTGAGCGCTCCTTGGATCTGCAGGACCGACAGAGGCAAGAGGCCCGCCGCAGGCTATTGGCTGCTAAACGGGCTGCATCTTTCCGTCAGAACTCAGCTACAGAGCGGGCCGACAGCATAGAGATCTACATCCCTGAAGCCCAAACCCGTTTATGAAACACACATATGCTATGCCTTTCACCAACAGGGTACATCATTCTGCTCCATGTCACTCCTCCACCCTTACACATTGTCACATTTGTTACACGTATTCTTCCTCTGCTCATCATCTACTCTGAGCTGAGAATAGTGGTGAGTTTATATATGCCTCAAACAGAGCTCAATGCAAAAAGGTCATGGCAGTCTATGCCCTCCAAAACCTGCAGCTACTGCAACCCAGTTTTGATTTCATTGTAGTATGTTCAGAGGACAAAACTAAGGCTTTGTTCACACTGCGCACAAATCCATTTTGGTTTCCACATCCGATGTTTAGGACACAATTTGACCATTCTTATATATTCGCATTCATGCACATACTGAGTCCAAAACCACTGACATGTTCACTTACTCACTATTCACTACATAGTGAATATAATGAAGCCCCTAAATAGACATGGTTATGGAAAAAATTATATTTCAACGCTTTTATGTTCTGTTGCGTCCCACTGAGAATTTTTTTGCATACTCTCACAAAACTTTTGAGTTTCCCTGAGAAACTATGCATTCACTTGCAAAACTTTTGTGTTGGAAATACAGTAGTCAACATTTGAAGTGGATCAAAACCTTTCATCAAAGTTATACATGAATTTTGAACAACACCCGTTCTTGTCTTAGGACAACTTTGATGATCTTTTTTGATCCACTTCAAATGTTGATTACTGTAATATGATGTCGGAGGAAAATGCCTCAGGTTATGACAGTAACCATGGTTCCCTGCAAAGGAAAATGAGACTGGGATTGACGCTATGGGGAACGGCATCAGCATGACCAGTGTCTGAACCACATTAGCTGACGACAGTCCATGACATCACTAGCGGAGCGCCCGTAAGTATAAGAGGGTGCCTGTAATACACGTCATCAACTCTTTTGTTTGAAGGAGACACACAGGCAGACCCAAGGCATGGCAACGAGATGCAGTGTCTCATTCCCCTTCTCAGGGAACCATGGTTACAGTTGTAACCTGAGACGTTCCCTTTCGAAGTGGAAGTCAACACTGCTTCTTGGATTGACGCTATGGGGAACAAATACCCACTACGCCATGCTGAGGGAATGCCTGCCTCATTAAGCTGTGAATATGGACAAACATATTAGGCATAGCATAAGTTGACTCAATGGATTACTTAGTCAGAGCATCAATTAGGGGCCCATCCAAAAAGACTCATATAGACTGTCTAGTGGTACAACTTCCGAAGCCTCTATCTTCCAATAATAGAAGATATTCAAGCTTCTATGCTCTCTTAACAAAGAAAGTCCCAGCCATTACAACCTTCCTTCCTCCCTCGTGGGTCAGGCGTCAGCCTTATGAGTCCCCAAGAGCAGAGAACTAAGGAATAAATGGCTCAGCTATGTAAGTTTATTTCGCCTTGACACAGCCCTTAGGGAGTATCTGCCAAAGGGAGAATATTTTCAACAACGATCTTGGATATTACCACTACTTCCAGGGCGAGAATGCAACCCAAATTTTCATCAGAAGGGATGCTAATATGAGTGGCAAAATATAGTTGTCTAAGATTCTCGCCATGAAACTCAACCCCTAGGAAAATTGCAGGGGAGCTCCAGCTCTACTTAAATACCCTGGAATAATTAGGGGAGTGCGCTCACACCCTGCTTGTGAAACCCACCAAAGGGGAGCAAATAGACCCTAATTTAAGACCCAAGAACAGGAGGGAGGGCATACAAATTGCTACTTCTAGGAGGAAAATGCACTCTACCTAAGCCCTACTATAGCTAGCGCTTCATCTTTTTATTTAAGCACCAGACCATAGTATGTGACAGATAACAAGGAGGGACACCGGCAAGCGAACTTCCTCTACTTGTTAACATTGTCAAATCAGGGCTATAGTAGAGCCTTCCAAAGCGGAGCTATATCCCTACTTCAAGACCCAGCAGTAGTTGGGAAGGGAGGTAAACAAATAGAGGGAAACTATACAGCCCTATATAACTCCATTTGCCTTGCATCAACCCTTAGGGACATCCAAAAGAAAGATATGTCCCAGACAAGAGAAAGGCAGGCTGCAGTTTGCCAATAGTTCTCATCCACCATTATCTAACCCCAAGGAGGCTGCAGGGGAGCTTATGCACTACTTTCAAAATAAATACATAAACATTACACTGGGGGAGAGCAGCTCAACCCTGACTTGAATTAAGGCACTTCTTCCAAGACCAGCAATATTATTGAACATGGGCCACACTAGTGAGGCCTATGAAGCACCCATCCAAAAGGGGATCCTACATTCCTACTTCAACACCCAACCGTAGTTGTAGAGTAGAAGGGAAAAGTAGGGAATCTATATTGCCCTAAATAACCCCGTTCGCCCTGCATCAACCCTTAAGAGGGGTACTTGTTAAGCAACCCATTCACAGGGGAGCATAATTCTACTTTAGACCATAAGATAGGAGAGAATATAGCACAGCCTTGGATACCCTTTCAGGATAACAGGGTAGAGCAAGAGAGATGTCTTCCGGAGACAATTAACCAGTCTCACCCTGGGGGCCAGGTGAAAGTATCTTGCCAAAAACTTTCCTGCATGCATAAGTAACCAAGCACTACTTAGCATACACTATAAAACGAGCGACAGAAAGAGCGGTTTCCGATTCCTGTTTTTCTTTTAACCACAAACCCACTCCATTCCTGCTCCAGGAGCACGCTGCCACTAAAGGCAGGCATGGAGCACTTGCAACATCTTTTTTTTTCATGGCCTCCCAGGTCTGTCTTGTCTTCGCATATGCCTTGCCAAGAGCCGCAAGGTGGTCAGCAGCAGAGGAAGCCAGACTTAATTTACAATATCTGCCTCTACTCTGCCCACATACGAGCCCACGATCGAAGCTGCCATTTTGCAACTTCAGCAGACATGGGGCCTGAACCGTGAGGGGGAGCTCCCTCAAAGCGACTCATAACAGAGAACACATTCCGCCCCCTCGAGAGCTGAACACACTCGCTCTTTTGGCAAGGTGGGAGCCTTCACAGAGGATGCAACACCAGGAGAGATATAGCTCTTAAGCAGCACTTCAACTCGGGCATCCTAAAATACCATTATTACAAATTCCTTCATTACCTCAATATGGAAATTGCGGGGCAGCGGAGGAAGCAGATATTATTATTATTATTATTATTATTATCATCTTAATAACACTTACCTCAACTCTTTCTGCATCTAATCCCTCAGAATTAGACCCGCCACATTATCAAACTCAAGACTCTCATCCCTCGAGTCAAGCCAGGGTGGAGCTTCTTACGGCGAATGCATCACATTCCCTTGAGAGCTGAACACACACTAGACTCTTGTATGGTTTAGAGAGACTCAAACAATAACAGTTTCTTACCATGAATGAATCACCATGAGTGCAGCCTATTCCTTCTAGCCAAACACACTCCATGCAAACATTATATTCTCATCCCTCAGGAAAGAATAAAGCAAGAACAGAGCTTACCACGAATGGAACGCAATGAGCACATCCAGCGTTAATCCTTAAGTATACAAACAAGCAGCTCCTGAAGTCAAAAAAGCTGAAGACGTGTATTACAGGCACCCTTTATACTTGCCGGCGCTCTGCTAGTTCCATCATGGAATGTCGTTGGACACTGATAGCATTTTCCATAGCATCAATCTAAAATCCAGTGCTGAGTTCCACTTTGAAAAGGAAACTGTATTTCAATGCTTTTGTAGGTGAACGCAAAGTTTTGGGGGAACGCAACATTTTTGCGAATGCATTGAAATCAAATTTTTCCATCTAATTTCATTCTAATGTCCCATTAGGGGCGCCGTAGAATGTCAATCAATTCATTATATGGAAAAAAAAATAAAGAAAGAGACATACAGTATGCAACACTGCAGGAATGATGAAAAAAGTACTTGAAATGTAATCTGACTCTTCAGGTGCATTGCAAAATATTTTAATCTGATTTCAGACCTCATTTGGATGTACTGTAGTTATCGGATTCCAAAAAATCAGATTTTTGCTACCTGTCTGAACAAAGCCTAGTGTAGCCCTCAGCATAGGCACAGTTAACACTCCTTTCAGAATATGTATTCTATAGCACTGGCACAAAACTAATGTCACAGCATAGTCACTTCAACAACATTATTCCCACAATCGAACATAAAATGACTCTAAACTTGACTTTATGTGGCGTTTAGATTTAAATAAGCAAAATTAAGATTAGTTTGCAAACTAAATTATAAAGTTTCTACTACTTGAAAAGATGTACACAGCAGTTTTACTTCTTAAATTATCCACATTTGTATTTCCAACGGAAATGTTGATCTTGATCCTCGTGATGTTATCGCATTTGGGGATTTGCATGAAGGTATTGCTTCTAGACTTCAATTTAGGTTTAGCTTCAGGATTAACAGATTTAATCTTGTTCTGGACTAAACTGCACAGTCATTTTATTCAATGACTAAGGTTTAAAGTTCATTCAGCCCAAAAAGGCCTTGATATCATTCAGTCATAAAGTAACAGCTTGACTTTCATTAACTGACCACCGGTTCTACACAAAAACATTTACAGAGAAGTATTTACAACACCAATCTTCTTCAACATTCACCCTCAAGGTAGTCTGTGACATATAAAGGTGCAAAAGAAACTTTAATAATATTACTGTAAATGGTGCTGCTTTATACTCTAAAATGTAGAAGCCCCTCTCCTCTCCTTTCTGCACAGCACTATAAACCACCTGTGGACTTTTTTAAAGGGAGGTTTAACAGTGTCTCAATGCATTTCGGAATATCATATTTATGGTCACTGGTTTGTTGAAAAGAAATAGATTTATTTTAGGTTAGACAGTTATGTTTTTTCTATATCACACTTTTCAGTCCAGCATTTGCACAAAGATGTGCCCATTTGCCTTGTCACCTTCGAGAACAGAAACCCGGATGTGCAATAGACAGAGGTCTCTATGATGAATTGGTGAATTTAACAATTGGGTGTTGGGTCAGGGGTGGCAACAATGCCCCTTTTTATTTCGAAT